AAATTACAGTTATGAAGTAGCAACGAAAATAATGTTATGGTTGGAGGTCACCACAACATAAGGAACTGTGTTAAGGGGCCATGGCATTGGGAAGGTTGAGAAACACTGGACTCGATGGTCCACATGGTCTCTTCCCACTTTATTGTGCTATGATTCTATAATATATATAAGGACACCCATCTTGGAAATGGGTGTGGCATTCTGGCCTTTAGAGAGCCAGCAGTTGCTTCTGTGTTACAATCTCCTCATTTCTGGTCTCATTTGGGGAAAAAGGCCAAGAATGTACTTAAAGGAAGGCCTGACTTAACACCACCTTGATGGCGCTGCTGAACCAGTCACTGGGAGGGCCAACCGTGGCATTTCACTACCTCCCTGAGTCACCCTCCTGCACCTGTTTCCAATGCACATCCTATTATGAGCCAGGTTGCTTGCTCATTCCCCCATCCTTGAAAACAAAGGAATTTTCCAGCAAAGGGTAGCAAGAGAGCAGCCAGTATATTCTTGGAATGCAGACTGTGGTTATGTGGACTCCCAGTAAAATGGCCACACGCTGTAACCGAGGTGGGGGTGATTCCTCATAGCAAACATTGTGCAACAGCGTCAACAAATGAACGTTCGGTCTCTCAAACTAGAACGGAGTCGGGACAATGTAGTTCTTCCATTCTCAGTTTTGGGGAAAACAGTCGTTCACAGTTCAGTATTATGTCATCCTATTCCTTATGTGAACCCTAATTGGGTGGGACCATCTGCTTCTGGCTTATCTGATAAAATACAAAGAATCTGTAATCGGAGGGAAAGAAACATGGGTCCCTTCTACACTGCCATATAACCCAGATGATCTGAACTGAATTACATGCGTCTGAACTGCCATATAGCCAGTTCAAAGCAGATAATCTGGATTTTATATGGCAGTATAGAAAGGGCCATACAGTAATAAGAGTTGGAAGAGGATTATTATTATTATTATTATTATTATTATTATTATTATTATTATTTTACTGACACAAAAACACAGTATGT